AAAATTGGCAACGCTGTACAGCCTAAACGAGGTTTCACTTCAAGTTGAAACTTTTCCTTGAAGTTAGCCTTACCATGAGCTTTCCTTTGAGCCCTGTCCCGTTGACCAACTTGGGTGTACTAGTCTACTTATGCACCGGACTAATAGTCCAATATCCTTGATTTTAGCACATGAAACTGGAAAATTGGCAACGCTGTACAGCCTAAACCAGGGGTCACTTCAAGTTTAAACTTTGCATGGAAGTTTGCCTTACCATAGGCTTTCATTTGAGCACTGTCCGGTTGACCAACTCGGGTATAAAAAAAAGGGGCGAAACTTGGCGAGGCTCTTTCAAAGTGATAAACTTTTTACGGCTCCGTGCATCCACCATTCTGCGAAATAAAACACCATTTTGCGTTGATGAAGCCTGCTTTGGGGTCTTCCAATTTTCGTAACTGATCCATCTCCACCCACCCATTCGCTTGGTAGAAAAGTTTTTGTACTCCTTCCTACGTCACAATACTGAAATACTCTTTCACCAAAATAGTAAAATAGTAAAACAGGAAAGGAATAGAATACGTCCAGGACCATAAAATATGGTTCTTAGTACTCTTATTATTGGCATTTTTTCTTTACCCACAATTTGATGGAACAAATAATATCACACTTACATTGAACTCGGAGAGTGTGCGCCTTCTGGTTGTTTGGTGGAAGGAGTGCGATGTGACCAGCGACACACCTAAGTTCTTTCCCACTGTCAGAAGCTTGCAGAGTGCGCGTCAGATTTTGTGAGATCGTGTAAAAGTCGTAGTCTTCCTTAATTTTAGTGGGTGCACTTAAGCCTTCCGTGATGGTGTCATTTCCTGTGGGGGAAAAAATTCGGAGTTTGGAGATATTTACTGTTTCGATACCTGACAGAAAAGTTAGCATAGGTATGTCCATTGATTAAAAAGAACAAATTCAGTCTGGAAGAAGATACTTTTAGCTTGATGTAATTGATGTCTCTCGATGAGTAAGTCATTATACCTCATCATTTCATTAAATACATTATTGACTAAGGCTGAGTGTCAAACCTTTATAGGAGTGTAATTGTTACGTTTAGTACAGCAAATGAATTTTTTGACCAAAAGGTGCCAGTTTCAAAACTGTTTTACACAAGATAAATTTTAATAAGATTGTTTTTGGATACAATTTTATTGAACTGAAAGATTCTTTGGTGTGTTTACGGACTCGGCAGGAAACAGTTTCCTGACTTTTTCAGGTTTTCTCTGGTCAAAATGGTACATTCGACCTGATTTTCTCTGACTTCTCATAATGAAAATTTGCATGCATCAAACTGAAAATGAACAGTTTTTAGGATTAATTTCACTGAAACTGATAAAAATACTTTTTTTCTTCAGGTATTTGTGATTCATTGAGGAAAGTATTAATTCTGAAAAAAAAATTATTCCTCTATTCACTATCCAGAGGGTGAATCAGGGTACTGAACCCCTGACCGGACAAATACTTAGTTTGATTGTATGGACGGTGGTGATGTTAGTTACACTTCAAGATTTTCAAATTTCCAGCCATTTTTATTGAAGTTCCTGAATTTTCCCTGACAATTCCTGGTTTTCAATCAAACTTTTCCAGACCTGTAGAGACCCTGTTCTTAGAAGCTTCAGTTATTCCCTGTGAGAGAAAATTATTTGATAGAGAAAGAGTGCACAGGGGTTGGATTTTGCTCCCTTACTTCTACTTTTTTTTCTTTTTCTTTTCTTCTTTTAATTAAAAACAGTAAATGAGACAATGCTTCTTCCATTAAGATTTATTCACAGAATAAGTCTATGAGAAGAAAAGGTGTAACTGATGAATCATCCAAGGTACAAATAAGAAAGCAAAAAAGTGTGCTTACCGATGAACCACGTCAAATTGGCGATGGGTCTTCCTTTGCTTGCAGTACATTTTAAACTAACAGCATCGCCTTCCCTCAGGCTTTCTCCAGACGTTATAGGTGATAGGAACTTCAATTCAGGAGGAGATGGCGCTCCTGGAAACACAAGAGGGAGAGTTCGATAAAATTATATTTATGTAATTATTCATAAGTCAACATCTTTGCTGGCTGGGTTCTCGTGAACATTTGCATACAAAAGATGAAACAAGAAAGAAGAGCTTAGATTTTGGTAAATGTTTCATAAATTCTGAAATCCTTTAACTTTCCCAAAATTTGCACAATAGAAAAAACATTCTGCATTGGCTAGCAAACAATTTAAATTGAGTTCCCAATTCCCTAGCGCTTAGTAGGGCCGTCAAATTCCTAGAATTTTACCATATTAAAATTGGTAAAAATACCACAAACGGGGTAAAATTACAGCAAATTTCTTAGTTGTTATATTCCTTAGTCATCAAAATTGACAGATGGTACAAGAATGATGGAAAATAATGAAATGTCTTGTCGGCGGAATTAATTTCAGGGTTTCCTGGAAAAAAACCCTGACTCTCCGGAATTGTGCAAAATTCTCTGAATTTTCCCGGTTTTCCAAGACTTTCCAAGAATACCTTATCCTATTCTACAATGTTGTAATCCAGAAACTTTCTGAACTTTTTGCAGGAACCCTTTATCCAGGTTTCCCTGACGACTGTCATGTCGCTGTCACATGCAAATAGTTAAATATTCATTATGATTCATTTCCTAATTTTAAACAAAATGACTCATTGCTCCTGTTTCTACTTCTCAAATAATTTTTTGGTGGGAAACCAAAACGATTTGCTGTACTGGGAGATTTTTTAGATAATGATCAAGAGGCAACTTTCTTCAAGACCCTAATTCCGCTGGTCCCTTTTCCCTAAATGCGATTCCATTGCCTATGCCATCACCACCCTTAGATTAAACTTTGCAATAAGAAACCACTATCTCTGGCTCTTCTATGAAAACACCTTTCTGCGTAGGGAAACCAATGGCATATATGTTATCAGTGGCGTAGCTAGGAACTCTTTAAAGAGGAGGGAGGGGGTCCATTCACAAACGTGATGGTAAATTTACATTATTTTGTGTACGTCCCTGATAATATTTTATGTCAGACCTCCAAAAGTAAAAATAAAGGTACCATTAACGAGGCTAAGAGGGGGGAGGGGTCCAGACATCCTGGACTAGGACCCCCCCCCCCCTTTTGTCTACGCCACTATGGATAACTCGCCATTTGAAACTATGGTAAAGAACCGATTACTAAGGTGTTCGCTGCGAACACCCTGATAATCGATCTTTTTTCATAGGTTTAAATGGCATAACAATCGATAAATCGGAATTAACGATGAATCGGATAAACGTGAATTGCGATGTATCGATTGTTATGTAATTTAAACCTATGATGGAATCGATTATTAAGGTGTTCGCTGCGAACACCCTGTTTATCGATCCTTTTCCATAGGTTTAAAAGGCGAGATATCGATAGTGGCGTAGACAAGGGGGGGGGGGGTGNCCCCTCTTAGCCTCGTCGTTAATGGTACCTTTATTTTTACTTTTGGAGGTCCGACATAAATTATTATCAGGGACGTACACAAAATAACGTAAATTCACCATCACGTTTGTGAATGCCCCCCCCCCCCTCCTTTAAAGAGTTCCTAGCTATGCCATCGCCACTGGACTGTATGTTGCTTCTGAAGATAGTGGTTGGTTGTCGGGAAGTGTGGGTGGAGTGTGGGTACTGACTTGCGACGGTGAGAGTCATGTTCTGACTAGATTCGGTGTAGTCTTGGGCGCCGAGGGTGCACTTGATCTGGCCGTTGTTCTTCTCCTCGATGCCGGAGAGGCGGAGGCCGCAGTGCCCCTTGTCGAAGCCGTCGCCCTCGTACTGGGCCCGCGGGGCGCCCGGCGTCGGCTTCCCCGGCGCCAGCAGCACCGCCTCCGGGAAACCCGGGATCTCCATCCGACAGTATATCAGCCCCGTTGGAATCTGAAACATACACGAACAGCCCATCAGTTTAATGGAAACAATGAGCCTGTCACCCATCCCTTCATAGGTAAGACAGTGGCTGGGACTGGGATGGCTCTCAGTTAAGGGGAGTCAGGTTTTTCAACAAATTACCTAAGGAGACGAAAGAGATCTTCGTCGAAGCTAAGTCGCCGAACTTGTTCATTAAGATATTAAAAGAACACTTTTTACAAAACGCTTATGCACACCGCTTATGTGTACCTCCTACACGGAGAAAAAAACTTCGTACGTGGGACCCGAAGTTGAGGTCATATGGATCTCTGAAGTTTTCGGATCACGTATCTAAAAACTTGAGGTCGAGCTGCTGAAGTTCGGGTCAGACATCTGAAGTACTTCGATATATACCGAAGTGCCTTGATGTCTGACCCGAACTTCGGCAGCTCGACCTCAAGTTTTCGAATGCGTGATCAGAAAACTTCAGAGATCCATATGACCTCAACTTCGGGTCCCATGCACGAAGTTTTTTTCTCCGTGTACGAAGATGGAGACATCAGAAAATTAGATTCGTCGGGTTCAACTTGACAACCGTAAGAAATGCGACGCGGTGCAGCGTCTAATTGCAAGTTGGTGCCTTGAACTAAATTACAAACGTGCACTTTGTTTTGCGGCAGTGCAGCAACAACCCCCTCCTCCTTAGCAATGTGCAACGTTGCCGACTCTCCCAGAATCCTCCACTTTTAACACGGGAGACCCATTGAGCTTTGCTGAATGGGTCAGTTGCATTAGGCACGGTATCGTGCTCCAATGCCGCCGTGCTAGGGAAAAACGCCGTGCGAGCCTTCAGGCGTTGCCGAATTTCCGTTGGTAAATCTCGAATTTTCGGGAAAATTTGTAAATATGTTTCCTCCAATTTTTCAGATACTTTTCTTGGCATTTTCACCTAATGTTCCTGAAAATTTCAAGGAGATATATTCATAACTCGCTTCAAAAATAACTAATTTCTGAGAGGAAATTTGGCAACTCTCGAATGTTCACACGGCGTTTTCCCTAAACACGGCAAAGTGGTTTAAGCTTGGAGATTAGCAAGAACGAAAGGAAAATATGTTTAAACGCCAAGTTTCTACGTCCAACAGGAACGAATATATCGCGCATTAAAAAACACGGTATATGACGTCATACACCACAGTTGTGCGTTTGCATACTTCCACCTCGCTTTCATCAATTAGATGATTTGCGCCCTTTTTTTTCTATGCGACGGCATGACATTGTGAATTTTCCCATCCCATTCCGTTCAAAAAATTCTTAATTTTTTAACTTTAGGTCTCATTTTCTCTCCTTTCAATAGGTTCAAAACGGTGGGAATTAGTCGACTGAATACTTACTTTGCATTTGTAGACTATCGTATCTTTCGGTAACGCTTCGATATACCGAGTGTTTGTTTCCACGTGGTATCCATGGGCGTCTGAAACAGAAATAAAAAATCAGGTTATTGATGACGTTAAAATATGGGGCCATTCACACTTTTAAAATAAGTTCATCCTGAAAAATTCTGTGTACAGCCACATCGAGAAAAAAAAGGAGGTGTTTGCATCATGAGGTTTGTTTACCCTGTGACGTAGGTCGGTACAACCTGGCCAGCGAAATCCAGAATTCGAAGTATGAAAAACGGACCATAATGTCCCATTTTTTTTTTTTTTTGCTTGAATCAACTCATGATAGAATTTCAAGCACTCTTTCAATGACTTTTTTCCATAAATTACACCATTTCCAAGAAAATCGACGATAAAAGTCGCTGTGCCGACCTACGTCATCAAAAAAATTCCAAGATGCCCGAAATGCAAACACCTCCTTTTCTTTTCTCTATGGTACAGCCATAAATAATATGCTTTCCTAGGAAAATCTGAGTGATTTTTATGCACTTCACGTGCCTGACCATCCGTCTGACCTTTCAAAACACTCCTTTATACTTTTACCGTATGTGCAATAGACATCCTATGCTTAGCAGTCCAATAACTGAGGCGTCATATCCGGGTCAGAAGTCAAAAAAGTCATGCTTCCAAAAAACTTGTGTTGAAAGTACGTGGTCTGTCCGGAAAGTATCAGGACTTTTTGATTATCTCGGAATGTAATGCATATAATGAGCTGAAACTTGGGTTGGACTTTGCCAATGTCCATTCCAATGCAGCCACACAATCGGGCTTTAACACCTTTAATCATTCGATTGCAATCAACTGATCAAAGAGTGTGTGTCAAGTGCTATCGTCGCGTTTTTTATTTTTCGTGAAATGACTGAGCGTGAAGATCAGAGAATTTGTATTAAATTTTGCTTTAATCTAGAAAAAACTGCCAAGGAGAACATGGAAATGATTCGGAAAGCTTTCGGCACTGATTCTATGAGCAAAAGCAATATTTATGAGTGATATGATCGCTTCAAATCGGGTCGTGAAACAGTCGCTAGTGATCCGCGGTCCGGGAGACCTTCGTCGACGAATTCTCCCGATAATGTGGAAAAAGTTCGGGAAACTATTGCCCAAGACAGTCGGATAACCATGCGGGAACTGGAAAAGCAGCTAAATATCCCGAAGACCGTCGTTGCGGAAATTTTAACTGAAAAACTCGGGCTCCGTAGAGTGGCAGCGAAATTTGTGCCAACGCTCCGGCTCATTCCTCCTGTCTTGTGCAACAGTTTTTGGGCAAAGCTCGGTATTCCTCTGGTTCCACATCCTCCATACAGTCCAGACATAGCTCCTTGCGACGTCTGGCTGAAGATGAAATCTCCAATGAAAGGGACTCGATTTGACTCCATCAATGACCCAAAAGAGAATACGACGAGAGCGCTGAAAGACATCCCAAAGGAGTGCTTTTTGGACTGTTTTGAACAGCTCAAAAATCGCTGGAACAAGTGCATTGTGTCTTACGGAGAGTACTTCGAAGGAGAGTAAAGCCACAATGTCATAGGTAAGCTCGATTTCTCAAAATCTAAAAAGTCCTGATACTTTCCGGACAGACCACGTAAGTTCAAGATGGTGCGAATTCGTCATTCTCCTCATGAAAGAGCGTAACTACATTTCAATAATGCCAAAATTCCTCTAGCAAATTGCATCCTTACCAAGGGAATTTTGGGTACTTCTGACTGAAAATTTCACTGATTTTCCGACTGATCTCGTGCAAAAACCAGAAAATTTTGGACAAAAATTGCACATGTATATTCTGGTACAAAAAAATGATTGTTTCAGTTAATCTGGCAACCTTGAAATGGAGTTACGTTCCTTCGTCCGAGAAACGACGAACTAAATGTATTTCTGTCAAACAGAACTATGTGCATTAAAACATGAGCCCTGAGATCCGTAAGAATACATGCGTAACAGGGCTCACGTCATGATGCACATAGTTCCATTTGGCAGAATTGCGTTCAACTGTAAAGCGCGCGCCTGTGGGGTCGCGAAGCGATAAAACGCACCTCCGCGTTTCAACAACACGGAACGGGGCAATGGTGAACCGTCTCTAGATAGTTCGGTCGTGCAATTAGCACTTTCAGAAAAAAAAGTCCTAATTAACAGCCTGTCTACTGAGGCGCGAAAAGAGAGAGAGACATGAGTACCTAGACCCTGTCGCTGTGGCTTGAAAATGAAGCGAAATGAGTGCCTTTACTATTATTTGGACGTATTCCTGCCAAACGGAACTATGTGCATTAAGACATGAGCCCTGCTACCCATAAGAATGTATGCAAAATAAGGCTCACGTTATGATACACATAGTTCCGTCTGACAGAAATACGGCCATTTTATGGACAGAATTTTTGAAGTGGAAGAATTTGAGTAAAAAGAGCTGCAGCTCGCGCCAATCATAAGATACGTAACGCTAAAAATCGGATTTTCTTGCCTCTCCTCCGTAACGCAGATCTGTATCCTCTCTGAAAAAGGACGTAACGTTCGCCCCCCCCCCCCCAAAAAAAAAGGAAATCATAAAAATCACCGATAAACCTAAGTTTTTTGCTTCCTTTTCCTCTCGAGAGAAAATAAGAATAAAATAGAGACTAAGTTGAGAGAAGACGGTGAAGGTAAAATTCGTGGTTAAAGAGCATATCAACGGCGTAACTCCCAAACCACGTACCTCGGTTTGCGACGTTGTACACTTCCTGGCATATTTTGCTTTTTAGCTGGAAAACTACTCATGGTCAATTCTTTAAAACTTGGGTGATTTTTCTTCTCTGCGCGGAGAAAATTGAGCATAAACTTCAAGGAATGATTTTGATATGGTCTCCTTCCAGAGAATAAAATGGGAGCGGAGATTTATAAACACCGCAAACGAGATACGTGGTTTTGGAGTTTCATCGCGATGCGCGAGTCAAGAGCCGACAGTAAGATACAGTAGAAAAGGCGGATGGGGCGAAACACGTGATACAACTATTTTAACTTTAAAGTAGTTAAAATTGCGTCTCCACGAAATGAAGGAGAATCACTTTCCGGCTGACTCGGAGACTTTAACGCACGAGTAGGAAAGTTGGATATGGCGAAACAGGTGATACAACTATTCTAACTTTAAAGTAGGTAAAATTGCGTCTCCACAAAATGAAGCAGTATCACTTTGCGGCTGATTCGGAGACTTTAACGCAGGAGTAGAAGAGTTGGATGGGGCGAGACACGTGATACAACTATTTTGACTTCAAAGTAGGTAAAATTGCGTGTCCTCAAAATGAAGGAGAACCTCTTTTCGGCTGAATCGGAGACTTTAACGTAGGAGTAGACGTGCGGTACAACTTTAAGTGGGTAAAACTGCATCGAAGTAAAAGCAAAAATGATCGAACCCGATAGAATATGTATTATTGCGGCCAGTTATTAATTTTTTCCTTAAAATTTTCAAACTCTTTGGATTTATTTGCGAAGTATTTCTCAAAACATCGGAAGAAAAACATTCACATAGTGCCCCGAAATTTCGTGTTTTAGGAAAAAGGATTTAGCAACGTGTGGAGGCTGTGCCAGAGAATATGAATTTTATCGAAATATAAAAACTTGAACCGATCGACAACCGGTGATTTGCAGCTATGGTAAAGAACCGTTTATTAAGGTGTTCGTTGCGAACAAACTGTTTATCGATCCTTTTTCATAGGTTTAAGTAGCAGATCAATCGATAAATCGCAAAGCACGCCACGTAACTGATGACGACCGTGAATCGACGGAGAAATCCGGGAATCGATCGACAACCCCGTGAATCGATCGATTCACGTTTTTATTTTTCGATCGAATTCATACCCTCCGGCTGTTCCAGCGTTGTTCCTTCTGGCGCGGCAGCACTAACGCGATCCGGAAACAAGCTTTGGGTGTTGACCCTCGGGTGAGGGGGGCCCACCCATGGTGAATGAGGACCTAGTAGCGTACGAGCGTAGAGTGGAGCGTGGCGGCGCAACGCGGATTACGTACGAATGTGGGTTACGGTTTATTTCTGTCGAGGGATCGCATGAGCGCATAGGTCGTGCCCCCCTGCCCTGGTCCCTGGGCCATGCCCATCGGGGGACGAGGAATTTCGAGACGTGGGAAAATGACGTGTCAAGCCTCGCCCCGACTCCAGTGACCTTGCCCCGTCGTTGACGCTGCCTCAGCAGCACCGGGAAAATCATCCGCAATCCTGCGGCCTCATCATTAATTGATAGACAGAGCTATAGACATGAAGACGAAAGGAAGATCGCTCAATGGGTCAGTTGCGCTGGTCATAGAATCTTGTTTCCGTGCTTGATTCTTGTAGATCATGGTGTCTACTTTTCTTGGCAAAGCTCATTCCCTGATTTTCCCCTGATTTTCAGGAGCTCATTCCCTAATGAGACACCGAAGTTTTCTCCTACTTTCCTGGGATTTTCTTGGGGAAAAGAATATAATTTTAGAGTTTCAGATATGAATATCGATTTTAATTAATCTCACGGCCATTTCTTTGGCGCACATTCAAAGTTCTAATTAAAAAAATGTTCTTGATGTTGATATTATCTGGTAAATGAAAGAGATTCCCGGTTTCTGGAACAAATTCCCTGATTTTCCCGGTAAATTTTCATTCCCTGCTGAATCCCGCTTTTTTCCGGTTTTTAACAAACCTAGACACCATGTTGTCGATTAGCTAGCAATTATGAGACCTATCCAAACAGCAACTCTCTACGTTCAATATTAACCAAGCTATCACGCTTTGAAAAATTTGGTTTATGACGTCAGCCACCGCGGTAGAGACACCTTTCATTTCCTCCACCTTGCTTTCATCCAAGTTTCACGTTGAGTAACCAATGCATCACTGACTGAGGGGCGGAAAGACTAAAGAAACCAGGGGTGTCACTACCGCGGGGGATGACGTTATAAATCGAATTTTTCAAACGGCGGTACACTGGAAAAAAAACACATTGGATCTAGAGTCTAGACTCTTAAAAACATCGACAAGAAAAAATACTCTTGATTCAATCAGATTTAAGCTTAAATCAAGAAC